TCACCATCATCCAAGACTTCCCATTACAAGATGGAGCAAGTACTGTGCCTTGGGGAAACAGAGCTTTTAGTAGCTGCCTCGGACTTTACTTGTTGACGACTACTCTCTGTGTTCTGTTAGTGAGGAAATAGATCCATCGACCGACTTTTCCTGTTATTCCTTTAGCACGCATTTTGTGCGCTATTACGCCATGGTCACACTTGTCGAAGGCTTTTGCAAAGTCTGTATGTATTACATCTGCATTCTTTTTGTCTTCTAGTGCATTTAGGACCTTGTCGTAGTGATCCAGTAGTTGAGACAGACGGGAGCGACCTGCTCTAAACCCATGTTGCCCTGGGTTGTGTAACTGATGGGTTTCTAGATGGGTGGTGATTTGCTTCTTAGGACCCTTTTAAAGAAGTACTCTCTAAATTTTTTCTAATATGAGATGGAAGGTTTTCATGCCTGGATGTTTTGGATCAGTCATTTATGAGGTCATTTGCTTTTTCAAGAGGAAAGGGATGAGCAACATTGCCAGTCTTTTTCCTGGTTATTTTATTTATACCTTTCCAAGCCAAACTTAAAGGGGTGGACCTATTTAATCCACTAACAAACTGTTCCCATTCCTGTTGCCTAAGTTCGTGCTTTCTATTCCTTGCATTTGTTAGTGCAGCTTGGAACATTCTGAGCAGGTCTGGGGTTCTACATTCACGGTATGCTTTACCAATCATCCTAGCTGCATGTGTTAGATTGCGTAGCTCTGGATCATTATAGTATTTACATTGGTTTTTATTGTTATTTATAGTGGAGGGTCTTTGTTTCCTATTCCTGCCCACTTGATCTGTGAGAACACTCTCAATAGTGGTAATTAAATCATCATTAAATTTTTGTGTGCCACTGGGCTCGTAATTCTTATACCATTGATCCAAGTGGTTATTAAAGTTGTCTCTGTGTTCTGGTTTGAGAATAAGTTTCCTCCTTCTGTATTTAGCTCCTTGATTGCTGGAGATGTGATCAAGATTGACAGTTGTTAGTCTTGGGAAGTGATCAGATAGAAGATCATCAACTATGACAGAGTCATGCATCGTATATGATGTATTAAATCCAAGACACAGATCTAGTATGCCACCATATATGTGAGTAGGCTCAGCAGTGCCCACAATTCGAACATTATCATGCTCATTTAGCAATTTCACTAGTTTAGTTCCATTGGTGTTTGTTATAGACCCACCAATATTCTTATGTCTGGCATTAAAATCTCCAAGAATGATGGTAGGTTCACTATTGATGCGATCTGGTAAAGCATCAGGTCGAAGCTGGTTCGCTGGGGCATAGAGATTAAAAATGTTTATGGAAAAATTGCCTGCATATACTTTGACACCATGATACTGCATGTTAACTCGACTCTGCAAGGAAAGGAGTGAATGTGGCAAGTTCTTTCTGACATACATCACACAACAGTTGGTTGACCTTAGGTTATAAGCTGCATATCCAGGCAAGTTTGGTGGAGGTGCTCCATCTTTCAATCTACATTCCTGCAAACAGATGACATCAACATTCTTGGTTGCACTAATATGATGTAAGTCAGGCAACCGCTTCCTGATGGAAGCAATGTTCCATGAAAAGATTTGTAATGTATCCATTGTAGTGAGTTATTACAATCTCTTGTTCATAAGATGGTAAAACTATTATGCTTTGGCTACAGTGTGCAGACACTTAAGAGCAAATAGCATAGTTTGTACGTCTTTATCTTCAGGACCTTTATTTTTAAGCATTTTTCGGCATATTGGCAGCCAGTTCCAAGGCAAGTCTTGAAGGCAAGAGTCATGGGCTTCTTTCTTACAAATTGCTGGAAGCTGAACGGAGATTGCTGCACTTTTGACATCATCACCATGCTCAAGAGCATCATCCTGATTACATATATTTATTAAACTTGTCAGGATCTGTTCAAGATGCTCAATTTTTTTTCTGGAAATTTGTTATGAGGAAGGTCAGGCGAATCCAATGCCTCTCCGGAGGATGGCACTTCTCAGTTAGTGCTTTCTTTAACACCTATCACCTTAACGGGTACCATGGTTACATTAGTGTTCTCTGATGGTGCCTGTGGCAAGTCTGTTTCATCATTCATTGCAGGTAGGTCCTGTGCATCTGACTCATTTCCAATTTCCAGGGGGGTTACCTGTGTGGTGTCCGTCTGACTGTTGTAGCTGTGTGTATTGGGAAGAATGACAAGCTCATCCTCATATTCAGGTGTAGCCATAGGTATCTGTAGTGGCAGACCAGTAGTTCCACATGTGCTAGCAGGGATGGCTAGCTCCTCCACAGCTGGTGTGTGTGATGGCATTCTGGTATCACCAGAATCCTTTGCAGTGAGGTGGGGTTCTTGCACACTTTGCAGAGGTTCAGTCTCAGATCTGGCTGTGGTAGACTAGATGGCCTCATCCTCAGTTACCATTAAAGGACTGTTATCAGGTTTACATCGAAGTTCACACTCCAATTGTGGAAAATACTGTATGTATTTTCCAGAAATACAGTAGTTATATGTAAATAGATGGCCATACTGTATTTAATAAAAATTATGTTATCGAAAATGGGAAGCTGTGCCTGCGCAGACGAGACTCGCCATTGTTGTTTTGAATTGAGTAACAGACGTTAATTAATAACGGGAAGAATTTTTCGTGCTCTAGAGGTAAAATTGGGTTGACACCTCTCAAATAGGAGCCGAAATTGTTGGATGTGCATTCCTGCATAATTTGAGATATCAGGCGACTAGACAAGACAGCTCCAGGAACCTCAGATAAGTCTGTTATGTTTAACTCTGGCCAGTTGTTATTTCATGTATAGACAGTGAGGTTTTCTGAGTATGATACACCTTGATTTCCAGTCAAATTGGTGAGTGATTATAAGATATTCTCCTTCTATGTAAATTGTATATATATAATCAATTCTTAATTTTAATATACAGTCCACAAATTTATATATTTACCAGAATTCCTGGTGATACATATTTCATTTGTAATTAATAGGTCCAGATTATTATTATAATCAAGGGGGAAGCGCTAAACCCGGAGGATTATACAGCGCCTGGGGGGGGGGATGTGGAAGGCATTCAGGCTTAATTCGGGGAACTGGAGCACAGATCCAATTCCCTAAATCAAGAGCCCCTCACCAACATCAAGGAACCTTCCTTGAGGGGTAATAGGTCCAGAGCAACTTGTGGATATGACAGTGGTAGGTATCGAAGGGGGACATTTTTGCGACCTAGGTGTCCCAAATTCCTACTTGTCTAACTGATAAATAATAATTATCTTTGTTCATTTACTGTTATGTACATAATGATACATTCAGATAAATGCAATTTTCTACACCAATGTCGGCACAGAAGTTGTTGCAACAATGATATCAAGTGTGACTCTTGATTATATATATATATATATATATATATATATATATATATATATATATATATATATATATATTATATATATATATACACTCTAGAGTTTAATTATGATAATTTTCTAAGGATTTTAATTAAAAATAAATAAAACAAAAATTGGCCGCTGTAGTTCCAGTAGGATATTGGAACAGGAGTATTTTATGCCCAGGATGATCTTATGTGATGCTTTAGAATTATGATAATCAAGGGAGGAGCACTAAACCCGTAGGATTATACAGCACCTGTGGGGGGATGTGGAAGGTATTCAGGTTTACTTCGAGGAACTGGAGCACATATCCAATTCCCTAGATCAAGAGCCCCTCACCTTAAGGGGATGTTTAAGAAGAAATGGTGTTGGTTATCCTGGAAGGCGGTGTTCGTCCTATGTTCTGGAATTCCTGTCACTACTTGGTCGTAGTACAACAACTCAGATTTCAGAGGTGAGGAGTCGTAATGTCCCACTACGTCCTGCAGACACGGATCTTGTTACAATTAACTAGCGTCTTACCTGGTTGACCAGGCCAGTATTATTATTATTATAATCAAGGGGGAAGCGCTAAACCCGGAGGATTATACAGCGCCTGGGGGGGATGTGGAAGGCATTCAGGCTTAACTCGGGGAACTGGAGCACAGATCCAATTCCCTAAATCAAGAGCCCCTCACCAACATCAAGGAACCTTCCTTGAGGGGACCAGGCCAGTAGCACAGCTGATAATAAACAAAACAACATTGGTTACATAAGTGTTAAACAAGTATAATATTGAAGAAAGACAAAGGTTGGTATTCTACTTGTGTCATTATTGGTAACCAGGTAAATCAATAACAATGAACAGAAATACTCCTTATACATCATCTTACTTGATGATCAAGAGAAGAGTGAAGGTGAAGTGACTCTCCAAACTTTAACCTACACCAGATAAGGTTAATATTACCAGTAGAAATTAAAACAAATCAGACCCCAGGAACCTCAGCCTCAGCCCGCTAGATGGTAGTGCGGGTGGTGACACGCTAATGCTTCCTGGGTGTCTGAACAACCATAAACCCCACTTTTTAAGGGCTTCTCCCTCACACATGAGGAGTGACGCAGCCAGGACCACCTCCAAGTTACAGTATCATGGGACAGCTGTCAGGACACACACACCAGACCGCGATCAGCGGTACGAAGGATCAAACCTCCGCCACTCCAGTGGCTTCATCGCCAGTGTGGCGAAACGTTTCTTCAGTAAAGATTCCCATATGTTGCATGTCTCAGTTCTTCAACTTGTCGGTTTTCAAAACCATTCATCACTCCTTGTGCTGAATGACCCATATATGGTTTGGTTAGGTAAGATTTCTCAGGAATCAGGACAATTGTTTCCTGATGTGGGTCTTTGTCATATAATGACCCACAGCTGGAGCTTCTGGTCATCTGACCGAGGCCTTCCACTGGCTTACCGGTCCATCTCTTTAAAAATTATTGTTATGATTATAACCATTTTATATTACACCCATATATGTATAAGGTATCTTGGTATATACTCGTAATTAGGCATGACAGGCCTAATGGTTATAGGAAGGAATTTGGCTAATTTTAAGTATTTTAAACTTTTATTTACATGTTTATTTATTCATAAAGATGTTCAGTTTTAATAATTACACATTTATACACAACTCTCTAAAGAATTTTTTTTATTATTAAAACTGGATCGAGGACATTATGCGTCTTCCCTTATTATATATTATATAAAAGACTACTGCATTATCTGACCTTCAAGGGACAAGGGACCTTGATGCCCTGTAGTTACCCTCATTTTCCTTGGATCAAGTCTGATTATCCAGATTCCCAGGTTCTGTATGTCCCTACGAGTTTAGTGTTCCCCCATAAATATAATAAATCCAGATAACGTGGGATGTCAACACCAAATTTAAGCATAAACTTTGACCTAGAGAACTGGAACAACCCAATCCATTCCTTACATTACCTCCCATTACCCAGGCACTGTATTTTCCCTCTGGGTTTACGTCTCCCCATGCATACAATAACATAAGCCTATGCCATTGATCTAAATTTAACTCATCAGCTTAGTAAAAAAAAGTATACTTTCTACCGTAGTCTTCGAAGCACATGCTAATTTAAATTAAATAGACGTACCATTAAAAAGTCACCACAACATAAAATCACATTTTTTTTTTAAGCAAGAAGATAACATATTAGTGTTCTTGGGAAAATAAACACAAGAGCAGTATAATGCGATTCTTTATTGACTAGGTTTCGCCCACACAGTGGACTTGATCAAGTCACAAACCTGACTCTCCACACTGTATATACTCATGTACTCTTTACCCAGGTAGATCTGTTTGTTACTTGATAAAGTTCACTGTGTGAGCAAAATGTAGTCAATAAAGGATCGCATTATACTGCATTTGTGTTCATTTTCCATCGTATCGGTATTTTATGCCTTTTATCTCCATCTTAGTGTTCATAAGACGGCCTCCGTGCTACGGGGAGGCGGGATTAAGATTTTAACCGGACATTTAATAAATTTCACACCTGTTTCCTTTTTGTAAGTCACATTTTTACCCGACATTCAGTGGTAATTGTTATTCAGGGTCAGATATTTTTTAAGAGTTTATGGTTGGTAGATGTTACAATGTAACTAGTTATTGTTGCATAGCTCACTAGTGTTGTGGTGGAGCGTTATCAACAGCATCCTTCAAGGTTGGTGTCTTCATGCTGATGAGTTCTTGATCCATAGACTGGAGCTACCCTTCACTTCCTTGGATCACAAGTGATTACCCCCATCATCCAGCGAGCGCTGTGTATGAGTTCCCGCTTCTCCCATGAATATAATAACGCTCAGCAGCAACAATACTCGTGGGTAACGTATGTGGGCTTACATATTTTATTCTGCTGATAGGGTTTGTATACCACCTGGCAGCTGATGGTGTAATACCTGCACATTGTAGGTTGCTTCTCACCATTCATCCAAGACTTCCCATTACTGCTGCTCCATGTTTGTTTCCACGACTTCTCCGGGGTCCTCATACTGCCAACGCCACCATCATCCCATGATTTGTTGGGCGAAGACGATGACCCTCTGCCCCTGCTAGCGTCCACCCCATTTCTGGCTGCCGATCCGTCGAGATGAGGTTCGTTTCGTGGTTGTGCTCGCATGGGTGAGTGTGTCAGGCCAGTTGTGGCAGGTGCGACCATCGGCTGTGAGTACAGCCACTCCCTGCCAGCTGCTGTAGCCACCCGCCTGTCAGATGTTGACGCTGATTCAGGAGACCAGGACGAAGATGGTCTAGATGATACTCGAGGAGACTGTAAATGCTCGTTAGTGCTAAGGGTAACATGGACACCCGGCACGTTCTCTTTACGTAACTGCTGGAAAGTACGAGGTCCACCAACAGAGGCGTAAACAGTGTTGGAGGGCGAGTCCTGCGGGGTGAGGCGGACGTGAGTGTTGAAACCTTCCACTACTCTCCGTGAGTCCGCTTCCACTGGCAAACTGTGGCCCAGAATTACATGCCCACGGAAACCAGATGGGACTCTGTAGCCTGGCACACCTGGGATTTTCTCTCCCGGCTGGATAGGGTTGCCAGGACGCTGCCCAAGTAAGGATGAGTTAATAATGTTGTGCGAGGCGGACACAGTCATAACATTGACAATGGGCCCACCCGTTTCACCAGGCAGGGTCATACTGGTACCTGGATTAGTAGGCACCAAGGGCACTGTCATCATATCTTCTGCAGCAATTGGTTGACCTGGCCAGGACCTCGAGTCTGGCTCTGCTTCTGCAGTGATTGGTTGACCTGGCCAGGGCCTCGAGTCTGTCTCTGCTTCTGCAGTGATTGGCTGACCTGGCCAGGGCCTCGAGTCTGACTCTGCTTCTGCAGTGATTGGCTGGCCTTGCCAGGGCCTTGAGTCTGCTTCTGCTGAGATTTGCTGACCTGGTTGCGGCCTTAGGGCTGGCTCTCCTTCTGCAGTGATTGGCTGACCTGGCCAGGGCCTCGAGTCTGACTCTGCTTCTGCAGTGATTGGCTGGCCTTGCCAGGGCCTTGAGTCTGCTTCTGCTGAGATTTGCTGACCTGGTTGCGGCCTTAGGGCTGGCTCTCCTTCTGCAGTGATTGGCTGATCTGGCCAGGGCCTCGAGTCTGCTTCAGCTGAGATTTGTTGACCTGGTTGCGGCCTTAGGGCTGGTTCTACTTCTGCAGTGATTGGCTGACGTGGCCAGGGGCTTGAGTCTGGCTGTGACGCTGACCCGCTACCCTCACTTTCTCCATTGTGGTCTTGAAAGCGTAATGCAGGCATGCTGGTTTCTACTGAAGCAAGTGGCTGAGGCGCAGATGTTTCATTGAACGGGAGACCTTCACTGGAGAAGTGAGGAGTGAGTGGTAGACCCTCACTGGAGAAGCGAGTAGCGAGCAGTGGACTCCTGGTGAGGTGAGGAGCGAGTGGTGGAGCCTCACTGGTGAAATGAGAAGCTGGTGGTGGAGCCCCATTGGTGAGGTGAGAAGAGAGTGGTGGAGCCCTGGTGAGATGAGGAGCAGGTGGTGAAACCCCACTGGAGAGGCGAGGCGCAAGTGGTGCACTCTCGCTGGAAAGGTGTGAAGAGAGTATTGGATCCTCACTGGAGAGGTGGGGGGCAAGTGGTGAACTGGTGCTAGCAAGGTGAGGAGCGAATGGTGGACCCTCACTGGAGAGGTGGGAAGTTGAGGTCTGCAGTTGATGCACCACAATTCGAGTATCTGGCGCTACTCGTTCCTCCTGCCCATTATAGGAATGTTCTGGTAACTTTGTTGCTGAGGCTGCAGAGGATGATGGTTGCAAGTGTTCATAACTTAATTCTATGGGCTCTAGACTGAAAATTTCAGGTCCTAGATCAAAATAAGGGGCCTGTTGGCTAGGGATGCCATAATTATTATCCAAATACTCAGAACTGGAATGATGATATGGGTCGTAGTCATACTGCGAGACAGACCCAAGGTGTTCTCCTTGTGCTGGGGCAGATCCCACACGCCCCTGGGAATAAGTAGCTAGTCCCACACCATCCTGCGAGACAGAGCCAAGAAGATCCCCTAGTGCTGGGGCAGGGCCGAGGCGGCCAAAAGAGTAAGTAGCCAAGCCCACTCTGCCATTCTCAATGTTTTCTGTTAACATTTCATTATCTTCAGTAATGTAAGGGCGTATGTGGAGCGGAGTCTGCCCAATCTCGCTTTCCCTGGGCGGTGTCCCGGAACCCACCAGTAAGCCACCATCGTCGATAATAGGGTCTTGACCCGAGTAGCCGGCATCTTTCGATGAGTACAGATCCACCTCGGGCTCTAGATGAGGTTGGTGGACAGTTTCCATGATGTTGCTCAACATGTCATGAGCCATCGAGGTCTGGCTAGCTAAACTGGGAATGACAGGGTCATCCACCAGCAGTGCTTCTTCCCTTCTTTCCTGGAGTGCTGCAGTATGCGTCAACCCACCAGCCACTGGCCCTTCCAATTCATCTGAACCCACCTGTTCACTGTGTGAAGGGAACTCATGGGTCACTTCTCCAGGCACAAGGCCTTCATAAAAGTGTTGCACTGTCGGGTATTCCTCGTGTCCTAGTTCAGGCTGTATGAAGTCAACATGCATAAATTCTCCTTGTAGCCCATCTCCGATTAACGGGTTATTATCTGAAGCAAAATGGCTGCCATGTGGGTGGCTGAAGGTTGCAGGTAAGGGTTGTGTGTTGTCCAGATGCTGTGCTCCACTGGTGGAGTGTGCAACACCCAGGTATGACCCTCTAGACACTTGGCCTGTGAGGGTAGCCAAAGCAGATCCACCTTCGGAGGTCACCCCAGCAGAAGCCAAACCATGACCTCTGATTCCGTTGTTGTTCTCAGAGTGTTGTATGGGGTTGAAGTCCATCTGGGCCTCACTCTTGGCAGAGGTGGAACTGTGAGCCTTAGCTCCTGCACTACCACCCAGCTGGGTGGCATCAACACTGGAGACAAGCATGGGAGCACCTTCGTGTGTCGAGACCTGAGCCCTTGAGGAGGAATGAGCCCCCATCTGGAGGTGAGCATAGGACTGTTGACCATTACTGTGAGTAATGGCAGAGCCCTGCACACCATGGATATTACCCATCACCTGGGTGTGGCTAGTGCCACCTGGGTGTCCTATGCTCTGAGCCTGTGCTGAGAAGAACCCTCCAATACCTGCACTACCTACCACTTGTGTAGCTGGCCCAGAGCCCAACACAGCCTCCGCCGTCGCCCCATGTGTCATTTCACCAATGTGTGCCTGTGTCTGTACATGTGATGGTTCATCGTATAAGTTAATATCATCAGTTAATGGTGGATGTTCAGACTGAGGGTGATCAGCGGTGCCCTCTTGCACTCCGTTAACATAATGGTCGTCTTCTGTGGGTTGATTTAGTGCATGATGGGCAACTATTTGGTCTCCGTCGTCACTCAAGTACTCGCCGTCTCTTGCATGACTTCGCTTACTCTGACCTTTGATGATCTCATTAGGGTACATTCCACCATCGTATCTGTAGAAGATCTGTCCATCCTTCACGATGGTTTCGGGAATGGCAAAACTCCTGACGCTGGGTTTAGCGTGTTTTCTGCCTGGCTCAGTTGCTTCGTTTTCGGGACTGCCCTCTTCTGATTCGCGGTAGAAACCACGATAATGCCTAAATCCCTGACCATCTTCATCTGTCCTAACGAAGGAAGGAGACAGGTAGGGCTCCTCCTGCAGTACCACTTGAGTGTCATGGTTCTCAGTGTTTCCCGAATCTCCTGCAACGATACAAAAATGTAAACAATATAAATATAATTTCCCAAATAGTCTGCCTCGTAATACTGTGGATAACAGACGTCAAGAGTATACAGCATCTGGGAAAGATAACAAGAGTAGACAACAATAAGGACATCTATAAACAGTGTCAAAATAGTACAATCAGGGGAAATGTAAATAACATAAGAAATAAGGAGTACTGCAGCAGGGCTATTGGTCCATGTTAGGCAGGTCCAAGTCACCTACTAGCCTAAGCTACTGGCCGAAGCCAGTCAGTTCCAAGTTACATCCACTTAAGAAGGCTGGAGCACTGCATCAGACCCGCTAGCGCAAACCAGTCAAGTCCATCTTACACCCACCCACATCCACTCGTGTTTTTGTCTAACCTGTTTTTAAAATTACGTTTGAGCTTCAACGATGGCACTCGGGAGTTTGTTCCCCTCATCTACAACTCTATTACCAAACCAGTGCTTTCCTATATATCCTCTGAACCCAATTTTTTTCAGCTTAAGACCATTGCTGCGAGTCTTGTCTTGGTTAGATACTTTTAGCACATTATTTACATCCTCTATATTTATTCCTGTCTTCCATTTATACACCTCAGTCACATCCTTTCCCTAATTCTACGCTTTTCTAGAGAGTGCAGATTCAAGGTTCTCAGTCTATCCTCATAGGAAAGATTTCTGATACAGGGGATCAACTTTATCATCCTCTTTTATACGTTTTCCAGAGCATTTATATCAATTCTGTAATACGGTGACCAGAACTGTGCTGTATAATCTAAATGAGGCCTAACCAAAGAGGAGAGCCAGTGATATAACCAGAATCTCAGAGAGGTCAAAGCAAGGAACAAAAGAGTACAGAAAAAATACAGAACAAGGAGGATGACTGGGAGGTAGGCAGAGCTAATAATTAATATGCTAGATTAAGAAGGGAAGACGAGTGGTGGTTTCAGAACAACATAACATCAAAGGCAAACACAAGCCCGAAACTGCTGCATGTCACATGAGAATCAAGCATTGTGACTGAAGAAACATTCAAAGATGACAAAGGTATGTGAGAAACAGGACAGAGGATCCAGGAAGATATTCACTATGGAGGTAGGAAAGACACTAAAACACAAAAGAAAATGAAACGAAGAGCCAAAACTAGTCAGCATTCACACGTCAGAAAGGGCAGAGAGGAAGCTTGTATGAGACCTGGACACAACCAAACCCATGAGACCTGAAGAAACAGGTCAACTATTTGGTAGCTTGTAAAGCTTACATATGGTCCCTGAATAACCAGGGAAGACAAGCTAGTATCACTGCATGAATTTAGAGGAAGAAGTTCTGCCTCACCAGTTAGAATCATAAAGCAGAGAAATGGAGATGAAGCATGATAGATAAGGCTGGGTAGACTGTATCTTCTTGGACTGCAGGGAAGTACGTGTTACAGTGCGACACACAACACTGATCCACAAATTAGAAAAGCAGGAAGGAGTAAAAGAAAAAGTGCTATAATGGATCCAGTAATGAGTAACGAACACAAAACTGAGTGAAGGTAAGAGAGAGAATACCTCAGAAGAGTAGAAAGCATCACGTGGGCTCCTCCCAAGAATACCTCAGAAGAGTAGAAAGCTTCACGTGGGCTCCTCCTAAGAATACCTCAGAAGAGTAGAAAGCTTCACGTGGGCTCCTCCTAAGAATCCCTCAGACAGCAGAAAGCTTCACGTGGGCTCCTCCCAGGAATCCCTCAGAAGAGTAGAAAGCTTCACATGGGCTCCTCCCAAGAATACCTCAGAAGAACAGAAAGCTTCACTTGGGCTCCTCCCAAGAAAACCTCAGAATAGTAGAAAGCTTCACGTGGGCTCCTCCTAAGAATCCATCAGAACAACAAAAAGCTTCACGTGGGCTCCTCCTAAGAATCCATCAGAACAGCAGAAAGCTTCACGTGGGCTCCTCCTAAGAATCCATCAGAACAGCAAAAAGCTTCACGTGGGCTCCTCCTAAGAATCCCTCAGAACAGCAGAAAGCGTCACGTGGGCTCCTCCTAAGAATCCATCAGAACAGCAGACAGCTTCACGTGGGCTCCTCCTAAGAATCCATCAGAACAGCAGACAGCTTCACGTGGGCTCCTCCTAAGAATCCCTCAGAACAGCAGAAAGCTTCACGTCGGCTCCTCCTAAGAATCCCTCAGAACAGCAGAAAGCGTCACGTGGGCTCCTCCTAAGAATCCATCAGAACAGCAAAAAGCTTCACGTGGGCTCCTCCTAAGAATCCATCAGAACAGCAGACAGCTTCACGTGGGCTCCTCCTAAGAATCCCTCAGAACAGCAGAAAGCGTCACGTGGGCTCCTCCTAAGAATCCATCAGAACAGCAGACAGCTTCACGTGGGCTCCTCCTAAGAATCCATCAGAACAGCAGACAGCTTCACGTGGGCTCCTCCTAAGAATCCCTCAGAACAGCAGAAAGCTTCACGTGGGCTCCTCCTAAGAATCCCTCAGAACAGCAGAAAGCGTCACGTGGGCTCCTCCTAAGAATCCATCAGAACAGCAGACAGCTTCACGTGGGCTCCTCCTAAGAATCCCTCAGAACAGCAGAAAGCGTCACGTGGGCTCCTCCTAAGAATCCCTCAGAACAGCAGAAAGCGTCACGTGGGCTCCTCCTAAGAATCCATCAGAACAGCAGACAGCGTCACGTGGGCTCCTCCTAAGAATCCCTCAGAACAGCAGACAGCGTCACGTGGGCTCCTCCTAAGAATCCCTCAGAACAGCAGACAGCGTCACGTGGGCTCCTCCTAAGAATCCCTCAGAACAGCAGAACAGCGTTCACGTGGGCTCCTCCTAAGAATCCCTCAGAACAGCAGAAAGCTTCACGTGGGCTCCTCCTAAGAATCCCTCAGAACAGCAGAAAGCTTCACGTGGGCTCCTCCTAAGAATCAATACTTATTATATTCTTAATATACTCAAACAATCTTAAATGATTCCGATGACGTGAGTTTTAATAAAAACGGAAGAGAATAAAGAATTTGCAAGATGACATAGAGTGACTACGAGATAAATTACGTAAGTGGCCACGGGAGTTCATCCCACACAAGTACAAGTTCATCCAAACTGGAGAGGAAGAAGACAAGGTGTTGCAAATGGTATAGACTACCGACATGTCGATGATTAAGACACATGTGTAACAAGTAGGTTTCTTTACTGCTGAAACGTTCCGCCTAAACAGTAGGCCTCTTCAGTCAAATACAGAGGCAGCACGTGTAGTAGTGAAATGAAGATGATGTAATTCTTTTCCAGGTTGAGGGACTGACCACCTCAAATACTATTTCTCCAAGTTTGATAGACTGATTACATCATCTTCATTTCACTACTACAGCTGCTGCCTCTGTGTTTGACTGAAGAAGACTACTGTACAGGCGAAACGTTTCAACAATAAAGATACCTAACTGTTGTACATGTCTTTTAAACATCAAGAAGACGAGATGCACTGTATAATTCCTACGAGTTTAACAATTCCCATTAATACAATAAGTATCAGGGACCCAAGACTGTTCAACTGCCTCCCAGCATACTTAAGAGGGATTACCGATAGACCCCTGGCTGTCTTCAAGAAGGAACTGGACAGGCACCTTCAAGCCAGTACCTGACCAGCCGGGCTGTGGTTCGTACGTCGGTTTGCGTGCAGCCAGCAGTAACAGCCTGGTTGATCAGACCTTGATCCACCGCGAGGCTTGGTCATGAACCGGGCTGCGGGGACGCTGACCCCCGGAACACCCTCCAGTATAAATATAATAATAATTTAGTTAATATTAGCAGTATGACAGGACAAATGGCACTTTCAGCATTGTAACAGTCGTACGTATAAAAAATAATTGGTATTTATTGTTTCAACTTACTGTTCGGGTGCTGGGAGATGGCTACTGCTCCTGCTGATGGATTATTCTCTACTGATAGGTTGTTCGCTACTGTTGGGTCGCTCGCTACTGATGGGTTATTCTCTGATAAGTTGCTCGTTGCTGCTGAGTCGTTCGCTACTGATGGGTTACTGGCCTCTAATGCGATCCCTGGCCCCGCTTGGGATACATTCTGTGATCGTGAGAGGAAGGGCCTTGTGTCCTCCTTTGCATGAGATTTTGTTTTAGTCCTGACCTGAGTTCTTGATCCACCACCCAGACGACCGCGACCTCGACCAGAGCGACGCTCCTCTGTGCTTCTCTGGAACTGTGGACGCGACGGGACGTTTCTCTTCCTCCTGGTGAATCCTGTAGAGTGAAAACCATGGTTGTCTTAACACTGAAAATTCCATTACACATTTGCTTGGCAAAGAAAAATATATGTGGAACTGAAACTAAACTTGCATGAGAAACAAGAAAGGTGCCTCGTTGAAGGCGAGAAAGGTGAGAAAGAAGGGCTCTTCATCCAGGGAATAAGAACCACACTTCTTTGGAGGAAACTTGACTGAGTCACATTTCACATGAGCTGTGTGATCCATAAGGGTTTAGTGCTCAAAAGAAATGCAAAAAAAGTAAAATCCTAGAGGGATTAGTACCAAATTTGCACACGAAAATCACTCACTACGAAAGCAAAAGACTCGGCAGGAGATGCAACATTTCCCCAGTGAAAAGCAGGGGTGTCACTAGCACGATAAGAGACAACACAATAAGTGTCCGGGGCCCGAGACTGTTCAGCTGCCTCCCAGCATGCATAAGGGGGATTACCAATAGTCCCTGGTTGTCTTCAAGAAGGCACTGGACAGGCACCTAAAGTCAGTACCTGACCAGCCGGGCTGTGGCTCGTACGCCAGTTTGCGTGCGGCCAACAGTAACAGTCCTGTTTCATCAGACCCTGATCCACCATGAGGCCTGGTCACAAATCGTGCCGTGGGGGCGTTAACCCCCGAAGCCCTCTCCAGGTATGATCCGTACAGGTTTAGCACCTCGCCATAAATTCTAAGAGTGATCCGGAGAGCAAGCTGCGTGATACAATGACGGTGTCTAAATGATGTAGTTATATCTACTTGACTTTGTTCACTTATTCTTACTTACATAAAAGCTAAAATTTGACATCATGTTGAGCTGGGAAGGACAGTGAGGGTGTAGCTGCGCCGCAGAAAATATTTGATAATAACATTGATGGAAGTATTCTTGAAAATTGTATAAAATACTGACAAGTTGATGATTAAGACACATGTGATACACTTGGGTAACTTTATTGATGAAGCGTTTCTCTTACACGGTAGACTTCTTCAGTCAAATATAAGAGAACAGTAGTAATGAAATAAAGATGATGTAATCAGTCCATGAACCTTGGAGAAAAAACATTTGAGGTGGTCAGTCCCTCAGTCTGGAGAAGAATCCAGCTCCATGGTCGCATTACTTGCACTGGTGCCCTTTTATCTAACAATTAGATATTTTAATAACGTTATCAGGCAGCGCATGGCCGTCCTATGCGTAGTAACCTCCCCTTACTCATCCTGTGGACGCTAGTCTTCTCATGGTCATGCAATGAATGACAGTCAAATAGATTACAGTCACATGATGTGTACAGGGACTGAGCTCCAGTACTCTGTTAGCTAAACAAGATCAGGGATGGATCTACTGTGAAACTAATGAATATTAAGGGACACCTAAGTACCCCTGTCTTCTGCTCATTTTTCCACTGATCTGTGCTCACACCTCTCCAACACAATTTTCCTCAAAGATTTGTTAAGTTATACTATGAATTAAGTAAAGATCCTGGACTTCACCTTACGAAACACATAAAGCAAATGCGATATTAATTATGGACGAGGTAGATTATAGGGAAAAATAAACATGATATTAGAAGAGAGGGAATCTCAGGCGCCTCTTAAGTACCTCCCAGACGGGTGTCCAGCTGCTGACCTGAGCCAGGCGTGGGTTGTGGGCGGCTGGGAGCCCCGGATGTTGAGGGTGTGGGTGGGCGTGGGCAGTGATGAGCGGATGGGTGTGATTCTCCAAGTGGGTCGGTCCTTACACCAGCGCCCTACACTCTCTCCCACCAGCGCTGACACCTGCAATACAACTCAAGAGTCAACATATGTTATATTATCTGTGAAAGTTATGAGTACATGTGTGTACTCACCTATGTGTTGCAGGGGACGATCACAGCTCCTGGTCCTACGTGAGTGGCCAGAACGTAGTACTCACCTATCATAGTGGTTGCAGGTCTAGTCACAGTACCTGGCTCCTACCTACTTCATGGTTCCTGCCTACTAATCACTTTTTCTGCTCATTCATCTGCCTACATACTCTCTATGACTGAAGAAATACTTCCTAACGTCCCTGTGATTCATCTGAGTCTTCAGCTTCCAGTTGTGACCCCTGTTGCTGTGTCACATCTCTGAAACATCTTGTCCCTATCCATCTTGTCATTTCCTCTCAGTATTTTATGTTGTTATCATATCCTCCCTGTCCCTCCTGTCCCTCTTGTCCCTCTTGTCCCACCTGTCCCTCCTATCCCTCCTGTCTTCCAGTGTCGTCAGGTCGATTTTCCTTAACTTCTCCTCGTAAGACATTCACCTTTCTAATTTCTTAACGTGCTTGTCCAGGTGTGGGTTCCAAACTGGTGCTGCATACTCCAGTATGGACCTGATGTACACGGTGTACAGAGTCTTGAACGATTCCTTACTGAGATGTCAGAACGCTGTTCCTAGGTTTGCCAGGCGCCGTGCGTACTCAACTAGTTGTGGTCGCCTCTTCACTGGTCACTACTGGGTCACTTTTCTTGTTCCATGAGCTTTATCATACCTATTCTTAAAGCTATGTATGGATCCTGCCTCCACTACATCGCTTCCCAGACTATTCCACTTCCTGACAACTCTGTGACTGAAGAAATAATTCCTAAGGTTCCTGTGATTCATCTGAGTCTTCAACTTCCAACTGTGTCCCCTTGTTGCTGCCCATCTCTGGAACACTCTGTCTCTGTCCACCTTGTCAATTCCTCTCAGCATTTTATACGTCGTTATCATATCCTCCCTGTCTCTCCTGTCCTCCAGCATTGCCAGGTTGATTTCCCTTAACCTCTCCTCGTAGGGCATGACCCTTAGCTCCGGGACTAGTCTTGTTGCAAACCTTTGCACTTTCTCTAGTTTCCTTACGTGCTTGGCTAGGTGTGGGTTCCAAACTGGTGCTGCATACTCCAATATAGGCCTAACGTACACGGTGTACAGAGTCATGGACGACTCCTTATTGAGATGTCGGAATGCTGTTCTTAGGTTTGCTAGGCGCCTGTATGCTGCAGCAGTTATTTGGTTGATGTGCGCCTCAGGAGATGTTCTCGGTGTTATACTCACCCCAAGATCCTTTTCCATGAGTGAGTGTTTGAAGTCTCTATTCCCCCAGACTATTTATTTATTTTTTATTTATTTACAATACTCCATCTACGGTCTTCTTTGCCCTTCTCCAATCTCAATGACTTTGCACTTGGTGTGGTTGAACTCCAGGAGCCAATGCTGGAGCAGGCCTGCAGCCTGTCCAGATCCCTTTGTAGTTCTGCCTGGTCCTCGTTCGATTGAATTCTTTTCATCAACTTCACGTCATCTTCAAACAGGTGCTGCATACTCCAATATGGGCCTGACGTAGACGGTGTACAGTGTCTTGAACGATTCCTTACAAAATTCAAATTCAAATTCAAATTCAAAGTTTATTCTCTATAAAGATTACAATGTTGAATTTACAGAATTTGGTTGTTGTGTGGTTTACATGTAGTTAAATAATGATTACAGAGTGTACCACTAGAATGCCTAGCATGGCTAGGCATTTCGGGCAGACTTAGTTTAATTCTTTATTTTAAAATATTACAAATTATGAGGTAAGTTGGTATTATGGCTAAGTGACTAAATACTAGTTTGTGAGTTTAGCAATGTGAATGCTTTTGTTTTGGCACAGTACATAGTTTCAGTATTGGAGTATCATAGGATTCATTATTTTAAGATTGAGATTAATATTTCTGTTTATGGTCAAATGAGTCAGTGAGTGTAAGTGTGACCACCAGGTGGTTTTCGTGTAGTTAGTTGACGGCGGTGTATCAGGGAGATAAGATGTTTTCTAATGGTAGTTTTGAGGTGATGAATGTGTCTGCAGTTCTAGAGTTCTCAGGTAGGGTTTCCAGATTTTAGGGCCTTTGACATACATTGAATTTTTTGTAAAGGTTTAGTCGGACACGGGGAATGTCGATAGAGATGTTTGTGTCTGGTGTTATGCCTGTGGGTTCTGTCACAACTATCAAGAAAGCGTTTTAGGTCAAGGTTGATATTGGAGTTTAAGGTCCTGTTGATGTAGATTGCACAGTAGTAAGTGTGGATGTACTGAACAGGGAGTAAGTTAGATCTATGAAGAGTGGGGGGGTGTGTTGCCAGGGATGGGATTTAGTGATTATTCTTACTGCAGCTTTTTGTTGGGTTATTATTGGCTTTAGGTGTGTTGCTGCAGTTGATCCCCAAGCACAAATAGCATAGGTGAGGTATGGATAAATAAGTGAGTGGTATAGTGGGGAGAAGGGCATTTTGCGGCACGTAGTATCGTATTTTGGGGAGAGGATTCCCAACCGTTTTGGATACTTTTTTGGTTATGTGTTGGATATGGGTGCTGAAATTCAGGTTGTTGTCAAGGTATAGGCTAGGAATTTGCCCTCATTATGTCTGGAAATTTTAGAGTGTTGTCGATCTTAATGTTAATTTGTGCATCTCCTGCTCTGCTACCAAACATAATATAGTAGGTTTTGTCAGTGTTAAGTGTAAGTTTATTGGCTGTCATCCAAGTCGATATTTTTGATCAGCTCCCGTTAACAATGGTGTTGAGGGTGGCAAGATTAGGGTGAGAGATGACATAAGTCGTGTCGTCAGCAAAGAGAATGGGTTTCAGGTGTTGGGATACGTTTGGAAGATCATTGATGTATATGAGGAAGAGCAGGGGACCAAGGACACTTCCTGTGGAACTCCAGTATCAAGTGGCCGTGTTGTTGATGCTGTGTCTTTAATGGTGACATACTGATACCTATTAGTAAGGTAAGATTTTGAAATAAACAAGCGCATGGCCTCTTGTACCGTAATGGTCAAGTTTGTGGAGTAGGATGTCGTGGTCTACTGTGTCAAAAGCTTTTCTTAGGTCAATAAAACTTCCTAGTGGATATTCCTTATTTTCCAATGCTGTGTAAAGCAGATCTAGCATTTTTATGATTGCATCATTAGTGCTTTTTTTTTTTCCTGAATCCAAATTGGCAGGGGTTGAGTATGTTTTGTGCTGTTATAAATCAATATAGTCTCCTGTGCACGAGTTTCTCAAAGATTTTGGACAGCAATGGTAAGTTTGATATTGGCCTATAGTTGTTTAAGTCTGTAGGGTCACCACCTTTATGTATTGGTGTAACCCTTGCCATCTTGAGTAGTTTCGGGAAGGTGCTAGTTTCTAGTGACTTGTTAAAAAGTAATGAAATAGCATGCGAAAGGATATGGGCCACTCGCTTGTACAGTAATGGTGGGACATTAGACAGATTCCTGAGTTGTTTTTAAGTGGACTTTATAATCTCGGTGACTCCGAGGGCTCAGTTGGTGCAAGATAGAAGGAATTTGGGAAATTCCCATCTAGGTAGTCCCCGGCATGGGCATTGGTATGTGGGATTTTATTGGCGAGATTAGATCCTATGGTTGAGAAGTCGTTTATCTTGTTAGCTGTGTCAGTGGGATGTAGTGGTGTTTCATTAGGTTTAGCTAGGACAATATTCTTGTTTTTTTTCAGTTTGTGGGTCCTAGAATCTGAGGAGTGTTTTCCAGGTTTTTTTATATCTCCTCTAGTGTCTGTGAATCTACTGGAGTATTATAGTTGTTTGGCTTTCTTTATTACTTTGGTGAGAACTGATGAATATTGTTTAAGAATATCTTTGTGTATTAAGCCCTGTCTATATTGCTTTTCATATTGGTGTTTCTTGTCAATGGATTTCAGAATGGTGCTGGTTAGCCATGGGCAACCAAGCCGTTTGTTTGTGATCTGTTTTGTTTTTATAGGACAATGTTTGTTGTATAGTCTAAGTAATTTGTTAAGAAAAAATGTCTGTCCAGTCATCAATACCATTGGCCTTGGAGAATTCTGTAGGCCAGTCAACAATCTCTAGGTCAGCTGTGAGCTTCCTTATTGAGGCCTCGTCATGGAGTCTAAATGAGACTTTGTTGTATTCAAGTGGTGGTTACTAATGTTTGTCAGGAGGAAGGTAGGGTAGTGGTCTGTAGTGCTATCTGTGATTATCCCTGTTTTAAGGGGGGCTAGTATATTGGTCCATATGTGGTCTATTATGGTTGCACTTGTCTCAGTGAGCCTGGTTGGTTTAGTTCTTGTTGGTATGAGAAGTGTGTTGTTCATATTGTTGATGAAATCAGTTACAGGCTGATCATCTAGTAAGCCAAGGTTGATGTTGAAGTCTCCAGCTAAGAGAAGGTGGTGCTTATTCATTTGTCTGTTTGTTATTAGTGACTTTAATTTCTCACTGAAATTTGGGATGTTTGTGTGAGGTATCCGGCAAATGGCACCGATTGTTATAGGTGTCATAACGTTTTTTACAGTAAAATTAGCAAAAATGTATTCCCCATATTCATCACTAAAGCAAGTGGTGCTAATACAAGATAATTGGTTAGGTAATAGATTGCAATACCACCCCAACTTGGTTTGGTCTGCAGTTGTGAATTGCTGTGTATCCTGGTAGAGGGTAGATATCTATGGTGTCCTGCTTAAGCCAGGTCTCAGTAAGAATAATGCAGGAGAAGGGTGTCTTTAGTGATTCAAGGAGTGCCAGGAGGTCATCATAGTGTTTGCTTAAGGACCTGATGTTGTAGTTAAGTACTAATAGACTTTTAGCATTGTTTAGGATAGTGCTGGCTTGTGATGCTGTGTAATAAAGGCAGTTACTTTCCAAAAGGTTTTGATTGGGTGTCAGATTATGGAGGTTTAGATCAGGGTCAACGTGATCAATCATCTTCTAGGTTTAAATTATGG